GAGTGATGATACTGAGAGGGTGAAGGGAGGGTGGGTTGGAAAGGGGGAACTGATTACAAGGATCTACATGTGACCTCCTCCCTGGGGGACAGACAACAGAAAAGTGGGTGAAGGGAGATGTCAGACAGGGCAAGATGTGACAAAGTAATAATTTATAAATTATCGGGTTCATGAGGGAGGGAGGAGAAAAAATGAGCTGATACCAGCAGCTTGGGTGGAGAGCAAATGTTTTGAGAATGATGAGGGCAATGAATGTACAACTGTCCTTTACACAACTGATGTATGTATGAATTGTGATAAGAGTTTTATGAGCCCCTAATAAAACGATTTAAAAAAAATATAAACAAACAAACAAAAGTAAACACTGGGTTTCAAGGTCCTCAGCTATTAAAATAGGAAGTCCTGTCAACCTGCAAACAGGACCAGCCTAGGAGAGACTTTGAGTAGTAGAAATATATTGTTGATTCTACATTGTCAGAAAATCAGAGAAGAACCCAGTGTTCATAGAGATGTGGCAAATTATGGAGGAAGTGGAGGGTACAGCAGAGAATAAGTTCATTTATAAATCAGGTCATTGACATGCCATGCAAGACTAAGTGTTTCCTAAAATTTTACTACAGCAGAGTTATCCTGAATTATCCTAATTAGAATGCTTCTTTACCAAGTAAGGGTATTTATCCTTACTTTTGCACTACTAATTCAACCAGTTTGTACTGGGTGATTATATTACCAATATATATTTATTGAGTTTAACTCTGTGCTGCTATTATAGAAAATACAAAGACAAGGCACCCCGCGGATCATGCCCCTGAGATACTTGCAGGTTGGATGAAGTGTGAGAGCCTTAGGGATAAAAGCACAAATACACATAATACGATGCAGGGTGGATGGTAACACGTAAGTGCCATGATGGTTTTTCTCAGAGGTTAGTCTACTAGGGGAGGAAAGACAGGACATAGGCAAGAACAGGGGAGAAACTATCACCACAGCCATGACATATAGATATAACACAGAGTTATGGGAAACCTGAGAAGGGAAACCAGACTTCCAAGGTTGACAGTCGTAGAAAAAACACTGGACTGGAAATCCAATGCTCAGCTCAAGTCTGGGCAATGTCACTGAATACCATAAGCCACAGAAGCAACACAAACATTAAAGGGATCTGGAATTCAAAATGGTATTTTGAAAGAAGGTAGGAACTCAGAGTAGAAATGCAGGTACCAGGTTTTATGAAGCCCGTGGTGCTTCATTTTAAAAACATGCCAACAAGTTGTTGACATCCTCTTTACTTCTTGGAGAGAACTCTAGAGAAGTGCGGTAGTTGAATTGGGGGTTGACAGACCAATGGGAAGTAGATCTCTTACTGCAACCCAGGAAACCAAACAAGGCTCTAAATGTCTCTGATGGGGGTCGGGGTGGGGGGCAGAGCAATAAATGGAAAATAGAGAGATGGCTTAAAAGTAGAACTAATGAAACTTGTTAACCAATATTGATGTAAGGAAAAAGCAGTATAAAATGACGCCCACAGGGCAGAGTTGGACACAGGATGGTGGAGCAGCAAATGAGTAGAGGGTGTCCTGAAGATATAAACAGCAAGGTGACTCCTTAGGAGAACATCTTGCTCCCAGCTTCTACTACAGCCCTCCACACCTGCTGCCTTGCCCGGAGAGCTGTCCTGAAACCAGCCTGCAGAGCTGTTCCTCTTTCTCATCACCTCTACGCCCACAAGAACCAGAAGGCACCTAGTTTTGCTTTTCCTTTGTTTCCCATACCAGCTCCCGTGGTAGAAGAAACTATCACCTGCCTTAGGTATGTGGCAGGTCACACATTTTAAACAAGACACTGATTTTCGACACAGAGAAGATGCTGGGAAAGCCAATGAAATAAATGGTGGAGTTTGGGGGAGGCGGCAGGAAAACAGCCTTTGTTTTACTCTTGTTCTCATATTCCAGTGCCAAATACTTAACTCTATTTCTAATTGAATGTGGTGATTGCCTGTTCTATCTACTAGTACTGAAGTTAAAATTGACCTTGATCATCAAGTACGTGTTTTTATTGCAAAAAGATAAAATAAGGTATTCCAGTTTGTAAATACTTACTGTTGAAACCTCCAGCAGTATGAAGGCCAAGGTCAAAGAGTTGTGAAGGAAGAAATCCAGATGAATGAGCAAGAGGCTCCGACCCCACAGAAGCCTCCTGGGACATGAAACTGGTCCTGGGGCTCCCACATGCACCTTGACATTCTTGGGTAAATTCATTAGCACTTGAAGAACCCGGACTTAGGAGATTGTTCAGAAATGAAAATTCTTTCTCAAAATCTTCTCCTTCCAATGAATCTACAAAGAGCTCTTTTGCAACTATTGTGTGAAAATAAAAACAAATAAAGTAGATTTTATTGCTATCGCACTTTATTAACATAATTTTTAATTACCCACCACCCTGAAAGTTTATGTGAACATCATTTCTAATTGGACAGGATAAAGACTGAAATGGCCATATTCAATGAAGATATAACATAATGAATATCTACGTGCAAAATAGCCAAACTACCACCTGGACAGAAACTACCGGAGACAAAAGGCCAAAGGGGCAAAAACAAGCTAATCCTGGGGATTTTCAGACACCACTCTGTTTATGAAATGATAGGAATAGATATCTTAAAAATCTAAACTAATAATAAGGTAGTTGTTTTGTACTTATATGAAATCCTATTAATAGAAAATACACCTTCACTGTAGGTACACAGTGAAAACTCACATAACTGATTATAATAAGCACAGAAAACCACTGTTTCTTAAAGAAGAAACATTCCAGAGCCCTCATTACATAATAATATAATTTAAAAATAAAATCAATAAATAAAAGGCTCTATCATCTAAAAATTCTAAAACACCTAGAAAACAATTCTTGGATGCAAAGGGTCTAGAATTGATAAAGGTGAAGGAACATTTCATTTCATATTCATGGGATACTTGAAAATGAACGGAGGAAAAACCATCGCCCTAAATACTTTACCACGAACAGTGAAAGGGAAGGACTTCGTGAAGACAGCGTGAGGTCCGGATCCCAAAGAAGCTAGTGACAATTATTTTAAAACAACTATTTAACATTTCTGGAAATGGGTGCTAGGGTATATAACAAGTAAAGAAACATTTACTGAAAATGTTCAACAAAAGTTCAGGGAGAAGACAGAGTCTGTAGTATCTGAACTGTAGCATCTGAACTCTCCCCAATCCAGACTCACAGACAACAGAAAAACGACCCCATACTGCTGTAGCCCAAAGCATAGACTTCTCCTCCCCCTCCAACGTGAAACCTAAGTTCTTCGTAGAAATTGATTGGCTGGGGGGAGGAGGGAGGAGGAAAAATGAGGAGCTGATGCCAGGGACTTAGGTGGAGAGCAAATGTTTTGAGAATGATGAGGTTAACACATGTACAAATGTGCTTTATATAACTGATGTATGTATGGATTGTGATAAGAGTTGTATGAGCCCCCAATAATAAAAAAAGAAGAAACAAACTTAAAACTAATAAAGCATTGTTTAAAAAAAAAAGAAAGAAAGAAATTGATTGGCTGATTCTAAAATTCTTATGGAACTGCAAAAAACCCCGAAAAGCCCAAGAACATTTAAATCACTTGAAAAAGAGAATCAAGTTGGAGGGCTCACCCTTCTTGAGTTTAAACTTAATACAAACCAATAATAAGACAGTATGATACTGACCTAAGAAAAGATATAGATCAATGGAACAGAACGGAAAGACCGGAAATAAAACAATGTGCCTATGGTCAATTGATCTCCAACCAGGGTGACAAGTCCATTTAATGTTCGGGGAAGATATTCAAAGGTAGTTTTTAACACAAGAAGATACTTTAACGTCAATACTGTCTTGCTACCTTCTTTTATAGACAAGGAAAAGAGAATATTGTGGGCATTACTTTGTTTCTTAAATGATTAATTTTTAAAAAAATATTGAATGACATTTAATAATTTGCTAGTTTTTCAAAATGCTGTTAGGTGGTGTTGAGGAGGCTCTGACTCCTAGTGATCCTACCCACAACCTGAACCAGTGCCCTGCCCTCGGCAGGCAGGGTGTACCTGGTTATTCAACAAATGTTTACTGAGCTCCTCCCTGCTGAAGGCTGGGCAAGCGTAAGTGAGTAAGACAGCCACATGTATCTTATTATACACACAGCAATATGGATGCATTCTGATTGGCCAAAGCACATAAAACAAATTATTTCATTTCTATTATGATATGCAAAATTGGAGACCAATCCGATTTCTAATGATAGTTATTAAATAACAAATAATTTTAAATAATTACCCACAAATATTTCAGAATTATTATTTCTTACCATTTTCAGAGTTAGAAAATGGAGGTGCTCCAAAATCTCTCATTGGAAAATGTTTTTCCTTGTGACCTTTGGTTGCTAGAGAAAAAAGCAAATAAAAGATAAGTTGGAAAAAAATAAATTTAGCATGCTCATTAACTTATTAGCAATAAGTAAGCCAAAGCACTCAAATGACAAAGTCAGATAATTTTATATACTACATACCTCTTTCAGGGTTTTTTTGCCATATAATTCACATATCATACCATTCAATAGTTCAATCATATATTCAGAAGATTGTACAATCATCACTGCAATCAATTGTAGAACATTTTCTTCTTTCCTATATTCATTGTTATTAGCTTTCCACTTCTCTCCAACCTCCCCTGCCATAGCCCCCATGAAACCATTAATACAATTACGTCTCTACACCAGTGGTTCTCCTCCTCCCTAATGCCATGACCCTTTCATACAGTTCCTCATGTGGTGGTGACCCCCAACCATAAAATTATTTTAATTGCTACTTCATAATTGTAATTTTGCTACTGTTATGAATCATAATGTAAATATCTGATATGCAGGATGTATTTTCATTGTTACAAATTGAACATATTTAAAGCATAGTGATTCATCACAAAAACAATGTCATTATATATTGTGAAATATTTCTATTGACAAATAAATGAAATTTTGTCTTGAAGCATGGTGTGGCATGGGTAACAGTCCTCACGCCAGGTACTTGTGTGTTGGCTTATCTGCATGTGGGCGGTCGCTTGGGGTGACGGATAGAGGAGCGGTATCCGTTCCTAAGACCATCGGAAATATGTGTTTTCTGATGGTCTTAGGCGAACCCTGTGGAAGGGTCGTTTGACCCCCCCCAAGAGGTCGTGACCCACAGGTTGAGAACCGCTGCTTTATAGATTTACCTATCCTGGATTTCATATACATAAAAACATACATATAAACAATAAAAAGTACAGAAAAACCTCAATCTAAAAGAAAACTAGACCAAATTTTAAATGGGTCAAAAGAAAGAAAATGACAAGGTGTTAAATTTTAAACTAGTCACATCTGAAATAATCCATGTTCAAAGGCACTCTGCATGATAGCAAGGCTGTTCACCTCCCTGGACGATGGTCAAAGGGAATTCACTGGAGGATTAATCCACCTGTAGTTCTCCTTCACTTGTTTGGTTTTTTTGTTTTTTTACTGCAACAACTTTAAAATGGGTCAAACGGAGATAAAATATTACATTTTAACCTAACTACATCTGCCATGAGTGACATAACAATGCTTCCCGAAAACAAAATCTATTCACATCCTTCAACTATAGTCAGAGGGGATACACCCAAGGCTCAATCTATGCATGGTATGGACCCTGCAAATGAATTTGGGCTTCCACTGTCTTCCATAGCCTTCTGCACACCGGGTGCTCATAATTTAAGCTCTGACACCATTCTCTCCTTTGGATTTGAGTTTTACTATTATAATCATTGGATCACACAGGTTGGTGCACTTCTTCCATATAGACTTAGTTGAAGTCTCACTTAGATGGCAACTTGTTCTTTCTGGTAGCAAGCACCATCCAGTTTCTTCAACATCTCTTCATGAGGGCGAGTATCAAGCAGGCCAAACCATAAAGAACAAAATGTTCTTAGATTGGGGCAAGAATTAAGTGTGAGCCCCAAATCCATTCATATATGTGGTTTGTGTATGTCTCTGGTTGACTTTAGAGACATCATTTTATGTTAGAGAACAATATCAATCATCCTCCTAGAATTGACACTATAAATTCTATTGATAATGTCATTAGTTTAGCCAATAGTATAGAATTTAAAATACTGATGAGAAAAGAAAATTAAACAAGAATTGGCCAGCTATGAGCCACAATACATGAATGGTTGAACAGATTATACTCTTAAGTCACTGAACACTACACAAACAATGGGGGTTGGTGAAAGGACAAACTTTCAATAACATTCATTCACAAAGGCAGAACCATGCCTACCATAATAAAGTAAGGAGGGCATTAAAATAGTAACACATACCTTTATAGTAGTACTGAATACTGATAATAGGTATTGCTATATCCTTTTTAAGGTGAAACGTTCCAAAATGTACTCCTTCCTTGGTCTTATTATATATGAAAGGCCATTCTATATTGTTCTTTCTGACTTCCATGCTTCTGACACAATGGATGTTGGTATTTATGAGAAAATGCATCTATAACATCCCCACCCTCTTTTTCTGAGTTGTATCTCCCACTCATGTAAGCTCACTGACCCCTAAGGTTCCTCACTAGCATTTCTGACATCAAGCTGCTGAGGTCAGATTGCTGCCATATAGACAGTTCTTAAAACAGCATAATGCTCGGGGAAAATCTGTTTTTTACTACCTCAGCCCTAGTGGCAGAGTGGACTATCCATTGGGTTGATAAGTGCGGTTTCAATCCACCAGCTGCCCCATGGGAGAAAGATGAGGCTCTCTGCTGCCATAGGTTTACAGCCTCAGAAACCCCAAGAGGCAGCTCCTCCCTGACCTGAGTCAGAATCGACTTAATGGCAGTGGCTTTTTTGTTTAGTTTTAAGAAAACTTCAGGGGATATATTAATTCATGGTTTAAATATATGTTAGGGCAATAGTTTTATGACTTCAGAAACCTTAAGAGTTCATGAGAAATTGAAATTCTGTTCTACATGCTACTCCTTTGATCATTTACCCTCTTTGATCAAAATGTTTAATAATGGTACAACCACTTCTAGTTTCCTTGGAAATGGAGGTAATGAGCCACACACTCTGTATCTTCCTTATATGCCTGGCTCTCTCCTCTCTCGTATTCCGTGTGAGTTTTAAAGACCACAGGCACTACTAAAAACATTATTAGGCCAATTAACTGGGCTGTCCCAGGAAACCATGACCCTAACCCTCCAAACAAGACCCCACATTTGTCTGGTTGTATGGAAGCAGCCTCAGCAGTGCTTCTGTTTATTATAGTGTCTTACACAACTTTTGCCAATTCGACTTTTTACAGGTATACAACTTATTGAGAGAAGTTACAACCACTGGTTGTGCAATCCTCCCCTCAATCACTGTGATCTTCCATCACCTTGTCCCCTACCTGCGACCTGGAAACCACTAATGAACTCTGGTCCCTATCCATTGGCCTTGTCTTTTCATTTTATATAAATGAGGTCATACTCTAGATAAAGTTATAAAATTGCTACAAAATCATAGAAATGTATTAAAAACATCAAAACGTGAAGTTATTGTTTCTGGACATTCCCTCTATCTAGGTGTACACGCCATTATAAATTCTGCACTCCGACTTATACCACTTCACAGCAGCAGTTTTAGCAGCCTTGACGAATAGGGTTTCTTTTCGGTGTGTGTTGGGGTTTTTTTAGTTTGGGGAACAAAAAAGAAGTCTAAGGGGCAGGCGCAGGGGCTGTCGGTGGCTCACGTAGTTTCCTAATGAAACCCTCACGTTGCTGTGATGGGGAAAGTTCCTCAGCGTGGCCTTCTTGGCCTTATTCTCACCACACAAAGTTTTCAATTTTCTTCAGACTTTTTACTGCTTATGATATGAATGATATTGTTTTATAATTTGAATATTCTGTTGAATCACCTTTCTTTCAAATGGATACAAATATGGATTCCAGTCCGTTGGCGAGATTGCGGTCTTCCACGCGAGCGAGTGCTTCCAATGCTTCATCAACTTGTTGAAACACTTCAACTGGTCTTCTGCCCCCAACGCTGGAACCTTGCTTTTGGCGAATGCTTTCAGTGCAGATTGGACTTCTTCCTTCAGTACCACTAATTTTTGACCATATGCTACTCCTGAAATGGTTGAAGGTCAACTCGTTCTTTTTGGCCCAGTGATTCTGTGTATTCTTTCCATCTTTTCTTTTTAATGCTTTCTGGACTGTTCAATATTTTGCTCATAGAATCTTTCAAGATTGCAACTTGAAACATGGTTTTTTTTTCCTGAGTTCTTTCGGTTGAAGATATTCTGAGCACGTTCGTCCCTTTTGATTTTCTAACTTTACGTCTTTGCACATTTCATTGGAAAATCCTACTTTGTTTTCTTGAATTGTCCTTTGAAATTTTCTGTTCAGTTCTTCGACTTCAACATTTCTTTCATTTGCCGTAGCTACTCTATGATTTAAAGCAATTTTCAGTCTCTTCTGACACCCACTTTAATCTTTTCTTTCTTGTGTTCTTAATGACCTTTTCTCTTTTTTTTTTGCTTTATTCCTATATGATGTTCTTAATGTCATCCCACAGCTCATCAAATATTCTGTCAATAGCATTGTTCTTGAGATGTTCTTGAGATGTTCTAATCTGTTCTTGAGATGTTCTCAAAACTCATTTTGGACAGACTCAAGGTCGTATTTTGGCTCTATGGACTTGTTTTAATTTTCTTTGACTTTATATTTTTATACCATTTATATAAAAGCAATTGATGGATTGGTTCCACAGTTGACCCCTGGCTTGGTTTTAGCTGCTGATATTGATCTTTTCCATTGTCTCTTCCCACAAATGTAGTCAATTTGATTTCTGTGTATTCTATCCAGATAAGCCCATGTATATAATTGTTTTTGTGTTGTTGACAAAAGGTATTTGCAACGAAATCTTTGGTCTTAAAATTTTTCATTTATCTATTTGTCTTTTAAAAATCATTTTATTGGAGTCTCGTACAACTCTTATCACAATCCATATATCCATCTATTGTGTCAAGCACATTTGTACATGCGTTGCCATCATCATTCTCGAAACATTTTCTTTCTACTTGAGCCCTTGGTATCAGCTCATTTTTCCCCTCCCTCCCCACCACCCATCCCTCACAAACCCTTGATAATTTATAAATTATTATTATTTTTTCATGTCTTACACTGTCTGACGTCCGCCTTCACCCACTTTTCTGTTGTCCATCCCCAGGGAGGGGGTTTTGTGTAGATCCCTGTAATCCGTTCCCCACTTCTACCCCACCTCCTCCTTATCCTCCTAGTATCGCCACTCCCATTATTAGTCCTGAAGGGTTCATCTGTCCTGGATTCCCTGTGTTTCCAGTTATCTGTACTAGTGTACATGCTCTGATCTAGCCAGATTTGTATGTAGAATTGGGATCATGATAGTGGTGGGGAGGAAGGATTAAAGAACTAAAGGAAAGTTGTATGTTTCATCGTTATTATACTGCACCCTGACTAACTCGTCTCCTGCCCACGACCCTTCTATAAGGGGATGTCCAGTTACCTACAGATGGGCTTTGGGTCCCCGCTCCGCATTCCCTCTTATTCACAATGATAAGATTTTTTGTTATTTGATGCCTGCTACCTTATCCCATCGACATCTCATGATCACACAGGCTGGTGTGCTTCTTCCATGTGGGCTCTGTTGCTACCAAGATAGATGGCCACTTGTTTATCTTCAAGCTTTAAGACCCCAGATGCTATATCTTTTGATAGTCTGGCACCATCAGCTTTCTTCACCACATTTGCGTATGCACTGCTTTGTCTTCAGCGATCATGTCAGAAAGGTGAGCATCATGGAATGCCAGTTTAATAGAACAAAGTGTTCTTGTGTTGAGGGAGTACTTCAGTCTAGGCCCAATGTCCATATGCTACCTTAATACTAAACCTATAAATATATGCACATATATCTATTTTCCCACCGTCATATATAAATATATTTATATATGTACATGCCTTTATTTAGACCTCTATAAATGCCCTTTGCCTCCTAGATATTTCCTCTATTTCCTTTAATTTCCTCTTGTCCCACTATCATGCTCAGCCCTCATTTGGGTCTCAGTAATTCTTTTTGGTTACATTACCCTTGATCAAGCCCTACCAGGCTTCCTACACCCTCCTTGCCATCAATTTTGGATCACTTGTTGTTCCATTGTCTCTGGGTTTGTTAACACCCACTTCCTTTCCCCCGCCTCCCCCTCTCCCATGTCCCCCGGAACCATCGGTCCCGGTTGTTTTCTCCTCCATTGAAAAATGTTATCATGGACTCCCAGCCTCATGTCTATCACCAAGACCACATTTTCCAACTACTGTTCCTTTCTCTGTTTCCAACTTTTGCATTCCAATGCCAATAATTATCAATGGATATTCATTGCATATTTGATAAGTTTCAGATTGAAGATAAGAAAATTCTTTAAATTTCTACATCACTAACTTTAGTGCTTGGTTCATAAATGCGAATAATAGTTGTAATCACTGGATTTCCTTTTATGCAGATAGATATTTCCTATTTTAGTTGTAGAATTAGGCTGTCAATTTGAGATTTTTTTAAAAGTAGGCATTTATTGATGTTTCCCCGAGTACTGCCTTTGCTGCATCCCATAACCATTAGAAGTCTGCGATTTCTCTTTTCATTTTCTTGCCACATTGGTAGTTTAATGCTATGTTATTCCATTTTCCTATGTTTGTGTATTTTTCAGGGTTTTGTTTTTTCCTGTTATTGATGTCTAGCTTCACCCTGTTGCAATCAAGGAAAATGCTTTATACAATTTCAATCTTTTAAAAGTTTATCAAGACTTGTTTTGTGACCTAAAATGTGATCTATCTTGGCACATGATCGATGTGCATGGAAACAGAATGTACTCTGCGATGTTTGGGGTTGTCTGTTAAGTCTAGTTGATTTGTACTGCCATTCCGGTCTTCTATTTCCCTGCTGATCTTCCTTCTAGATCTAACACTGAAGTAGGGTATTGACATCTCAAGTTATAATTCTGTTGTTAGTATAGGTGCCATCGAGTTGGTTTGGACTTAGAAGAACCTTGTGCACAACAGCACAAGACACTGCCCAGTTAGTCACAATCCTCACAATTGTTCCTATGCTTGAACCCATTGTTGCAGCCACTGGCACCACCCATCTCACTGAGGGCCTTCCCCTTTTCACTGCCCCTCTGCTTTACCAAGCATGATGCCTTCCCCAAGCACCGATCTCTCTTAACAACATGTCCTAAGTCTGGAAGACAAAGTCTCTCCGTCCTTGCCTCTAAGGAGCACTCCAAGATAGACTCATTTGTCCTTTTTGCAGTCTGTGGTACTCTGAATATCCTTCTCCAGCATAACAATTCAAATGCATTGATTCCTGGTCTTCCTTACTCAATGTCCAACTTTCACATGCATATGAGGCTATGGAAAATTCAATGTTATGGGTGCGACACACCTTTAGTCTTCCAAGTAACATCCTTGTTTATCAGTAGTCTAAAGAGATCTTGTGCGGCAGATTTACCTAATGCAACATGCTTTTTGATCTCTTGACTGCTGCTTCTATGAGCATTGATTTTGGGTCCAAGCAAGACAAAATCCTTGACAATTTCAACCCTTTCTCCATTTATCACATCCATTTCTCCCTTTAATTCTATCCATTTTTGCTTTATATACTTACAGACCCTGATGTTGGGTGCATATATACTACTGATCTTTAAATATTCTTGATTTTCATTGACCCTTTTATCACCATATAATGTCCATCTTTATCTATTCTGAAAGATTTTAACTTAAAGTCTACTTTGGTAGTAAGATTGCCAACATAGCTCTCGGTTATTCACATGGAATATTTTCTCCATCTTTTCTCTTTTGAGTATGTGTCCCTGGATTTAAGATGTCCTCTTATAAACAGCATACCTTAGGATCTTATTTTAAATTAATTCTGCCACTCTCTGACTTGATTGGAGAAGTTAGTCTCTTTATTTTCACTGTCTTTACTAGTAAGGAGCATCTTATTTTTACCATTTTGTTAGTGTGTGTGTGTGTGTGTGTGTAGCCTTCTTTTGCCTTTGTCCTTTAATGCTGCGAACTTTTTGGTTCCTTCTTTGTGTGTGTGTGTGTTTAGATATATTTTCTTAGTGGTTACCATGAATATTCCATTTAAGGATTTATAGTTTCTCATTCTGGTTAAGTTAGTACCAACTGAACTTCAATAACACATAAGAAAATCTGTATCTATACCACTCCTATATCCCCTTTGGATAGTATCACTAATTACATCTTTCTATTTCATGTGCCCTCTAATTTTATCTGCCTTTTATTTATGTACGTATAACTATATATACTATATAAATGTTTATACATGTTTATATTTAATTATGGGTACAACATTTGCAGCTACCAAGCATAAATACCTTATACTTGTCTGTGCATTTCCCTTAATTAGGGATCTTTCTAGTGTCTTTTTCCTTCCATCCACAGAACTCCCGTTAATGTTTTTTACAGAGCTGTCCTGCCCCACCTCCCTGCCCCGTATGTTTGCTGTAACTGGGCCTGCCTCACGCTCCCCTACCTCCATTCATTCCTTACATCTGAAGATGATTGAAAAAAATGTTTTTAATAAGAAAATGCGATCATTTCAAAGTAATTCTTATTACCACCTTACCTGGTTCACTTCCCAAATTTGCTTCTTCATTTAACAGAACTAATCTGAAGTGAAAATAAAAAGAATATACCAATATTTTGGTTAAAATTCATTTCAGATTTATGTTCAAAAACATTTTATATGGTTTTATTTTTTAAAAAACTGAGGAATCATATAAAATAGTTGCCCAGCACATTTCCTGAAATCTGTCTGCAAGAATTTCCTGATTCTTCTATAGACCTACATAGACCATGAAACTAACTTTTCACACCACCCCCACCACCCCATTCATTTAAAAAACATTTACTGAGCACCAACGCAGTGCCAGGCATCAAATACAACCCGGGAGGTAATATGCTAAATAATATCACAGAGAGCACCTATCAGAAGGAAGCACCCAAGCCATTGATTTTGGAGGGTAGTGGTCAAGCTTTGCAGGGTTTTGCTCAAGAACATTTGGAACTTAATAAAGGGAATGGAAAACTTCAAAAACAGTAAGGTACACTATTTTGAACAACATCATCCTTGTAAAGAAGCTACCTTAGCCCAAACATTCCCAAACAATATTATTAACAGCAGCTATCAAATAGGGAGGCAAAGGAATGCCACTTTAACCTTGTACTAGTGGCCTCTCTCACCTAGATAATGTGTCTACATCTGTGTGTTGTCTCTGCCTATTTTAAGACAATAATATTCTCCTTAAAGGCCAAAAAAGAAGGCAAAGAAATTTAATCCAGATTTAGTCATTATTCCTAAGGTATAATAACCTCATCAGTGTTAGTTTTGTAAGTTGTTTTTAATAAGCCCTTTTTAAAAGCTTAAAATAATATTTATTTTGCAATTATCACAGAATAAACCTGCAACCTGCACAGTAAACAGGTACTTGTTACTTGGGATGAAATTTCCAATGGTTGTACACATATATGGTTTTCAAAACCACTTATATGGAAGGCAAGAAACTGCTAGGTAACTCAAAAAGCAGCTATCACAATGCTGAAGATGCACAAGATGTTTGTGTAAAATTCATAAAATGTATATGAAGAATATAACAATTAAAAATTAAAGTAATATTTCATATAACATGTTTTTGATATCAATGTATAACTAAGCTAATACTTTACAATTAGATACGTGATTATTTAACCTATAATCCTCACAGGGTTATTATTTAGTTAAAAACAGTTTCTGATTTTACCATAGAAAATGGGAAAATGCATTATAGGAGTGAGTCAAAAAGTATTGCATACGAAGGGCTGTGGGGAAGAGAGGAGCAAATCAGAGTGCAGTGTAGTAATGATGAAATATGCAATTTTCCTCTAGTTCTTAAATGCTTCCTCCCCGCCACTACCATGATCCCAATTCTACCTTACATATCCAGCTGGACCGGAGGATGTACACTGGCACAGATGGGAACTGGAAATACAGTGAACCCAGGACAGATGAACCCCCCAGGACCAGTGGAGAGAGTGGCGATAGCGGGAGGGTGGAGGGAAGGTGAGGGAGACAGGGGGAACAGATGACAAAGTCTGCATATGGCCTCCTCCCTGGGGGACGGACAGTGGAGAAGGGGGTGAGGGAGACGTGGGATGGGGTAAGATGTGATAAAGTAATAATAATTCATAAATTTTATCAGGGAGACTGGGGAGCAGCGAGGGAGGGGGAAAAAGGAGGAGCTGACACCAAGGGCTCGGGTAGAGGGCGGGTGTTGTGAGAATCATGAAGTCAACATATGTACGAATGTGCTGGACACAAATGACATATGTATGTATTGTGAAGAGTTGTATGAGCCCCTAATAAAATGATTTTTTTACAGACTTATTTGTTATTTATTTCTAATAGTGACCTTTAAGATTTTCAGAATATATTGCACATGAAAAAATGATTTTTTTTTTTTAAGTATTGCATACATGCAGATGTTTATGCGAAACAAAGTGTGTCTAAACTTGTATCTGTAATCCATGGACAGATACAGACAGGTTCTCTCAGTAACACACTTGCCTTAGTCCCCTTAGTATGCCTTCAAAAAATGAATACTTTTTGTACAATGGGGAAAAACATTTTGCAGTCTGGGCTGAGGTCAAATTTTTAACAAAATTTAAGTGGACTCATTCCCAAGTCAATGGAGCGCTGCATCAAGCTTATAGAAGTGAAAAGAAGATTAGAGAAGTGCTGTCCCTCATAAAACATCAGTTTTAGAGGGAGGACCAAGAATTTTTAAGAAAGTTGGAAAATTTCAAAGGTCCTCAAAAGAATAGAGGTGAGTTCAGAAGGTTCTGACAACTGGTTTTCAAGATTCCAAAGGGATCATCATGATAGATTTTCTCAAAGGTCACAGGATGATCACAGGGACCAATTAGGAAGAAGTAATGAAAACTGCTTTGGTGAAAAAAAAGCCATGACAGTTGTGCCAAGGAATTTTATTTCATCATAACAATGCACCTGCTGATTCAAGAGTAGCAAGAATTGTCTCCTGAAGATTTTATTAGGGACCCTGACCGGATTTACCCCACAGCCCAGATCCTGCCATTTCACACTGACTTTTGTCCCTCAAATTCAAAGGAACATAATTTTAGTTCCTTGATGTCAAAACTACCATCTTGGTCACGTGGCCAGGCTGCGTCCAAGGCACCGAGCCACGGACCGCCTGGCATGGACCCTCAGGCCGCCCGGGCCCAGGGGTTGGCTTCGCCACGTCTCTGAGCCGAGCCTCCGTCAGAAGGTGAGCGAGACTGGGAAGGTCATGGACCGACAGGAGCACAGAACATCCCCAGGGATGGACCTGCCCACGATGAGCGTGCCCCTCTGAGGAGGAAGGCTTTGCTCTGGACAATGAGGATTCTGGTGGGGAACCCAACGCTTCGGAGCTGCCTGTCGGGGATTTTGGTTGCCCGCCCAAGGAACAGACAGCAGACCTCGTTAATGAGGCCTGGGACTTGGAGTTGAAAACAGACCAAGGGAATCCCTATGATGCTGACACATCCAGGTGAGCATTTCTCAAGAGAGCAAACCTTGGGTGTGCTGTGCCCCACAAAGAGACACGGTTTATGACCCCAGCTGGCACCACCCCCCTCCGCTGATACCCCATTATTCTAAGACAGTCTTTGAAACGGGACAGCTCAATGATGCTGAAGACTGGGTTCTCCCGTTCTGCCTCATGGGTGGGGTGGGACCACCCCACAAGGGTCTCTGTTGTGTCGTCTAGGGGGAGAGCTGTGTGTCTGGGATAATATCCTGAAGGATTTTCAAGTCAGGGGTGCCTAGACTGGTGTTACGTAAGCTTTCCCCTGTTCTCTGTTGCTTATTCTCTGTGGACTCCTTGGAATGTGTGTTTGTCTGCGTGTAGAGGAGTGGTGCTCTTTATGAATAAAAGTAAGGTGGGGGGGGAGTCCAAAAACACTACCATCTTGACATAGTACAATTGGAAATCGCAGAATTCTCCTGGAAGGGTTAGAGAGATGGAAGCCCTGCCTTAAGAAGTATATAGAGCCAGTTGGAGGTTTTCTCCAGAAACACCAGCTGCACATCGTGATATTTTCATATAATAATGTGTCATACGGGTCTGTAGCAATGCTTTATTACTTTCTCTCATAGTTAGGGTCACTTCTAGTCAAGGATACATGATGTGTCATTGTTTTGGGCTTATATCTGGTTGAGTATTGTGTAGCAGCTCTTAGAGGGAAACAAAAGGCAGAGGAACTAAAAAGCAAACAGGCAACATGAATGATGTGCACAGAAACAGCCTGGTTTCCAGCTAACCAGTCCCAGTAACGTCTGCGTTGAGATAAATTTTTGACACAGTCTTGTGAGCTGTTGTCACACAGCAGCCCACATCTGTCCTTTCTTCTCTCTCTCCAGCCGCCCATTCTGGGAGTCACTAGGTAGAAGTCCTTATGCCTCTTATTACAAGGTTCCGTCTCCCAAACAACCCAGTCTGAGTTGTCAGCCCAATTTCATCTGTACTCCTGCCATCTCCTTTGCCTATCATATTAAAAATGGAGAGAAAATGCAAACTTTCACAATAAATGATTCATGTTGATTAGAAAAAGTGACATTTATATGAGTATCCACTAGGAAAAAAAAGAAACAATTCTTCCCAAATATATGTTATCCAAGACTTCCATAGCACTAGATATGAGTTTTGCTACTCACTTATTGAGGTTTCCAGTCAGAGAATTCTTTTCTATTTGTTCTTCTTTGTGGTCTTCAGGAAGTTTGCTTGAAGTGTCTTGCAGCTGCTAAGAATAAGAAACCCAGTGTTAATTAGGTGGAAAGATTCTATTTCTGCCTCTCTGCAGACAAAACGAGAATATAAATTCTAAAGAATTATATAAAAAAGTAGGGAAGCGACAGGAGAGATGTGCACAAATATACTTTGAATCAGCCCGGTGTACTTGTCTATCCTGGCTGTCTATGGAACCGCACACATTGGTCAGCACTAATGCCAGGGTTAACACCCTTGTGATATACCTAAAGAAGACGTATACTGTGCTGCTACTTGCAGTGGCAGGCTCTTATTGCAAGTAATAACGATTTTCAACTTAAACAGAAATGAGTTATCATGTTTGCCTTAATACACAGTACGCTACTTAGTGGATCGTTTATTTTAGAAGCAGTTTAAAACTAATTCAAGGACACTACATCTTGAACAAAGCCACAAGCAAAACTTTCAAGCTGTACCGAAATCAACTTGATATAAGATATTGATATCTAGCCTCACAGAACTGAACAAAAGATTAGCACAGTGTGACTCTGCCGGAAAAGTGACTTACAAAGAAAAACGAAAGGGAGATTAAAAAAAAAAGAAAGGGAGAAATGCAAATGTCAAAAGTAGAATACTCATAGTCTAAGATCATCTAGATCGTGGTTCTCAACCTATGGGTCGTGACCCCTTTGGGGGTTAAACGACCCTTTCACAGGGGTCACCTAAGACCATTTGAAAACATAAATATTTCACAATATCTAATTACATATTGTTTTGTGATTAATCACTGTTTATCACTATGATTAATCACTTAAATTATGTTTATTATAATTTGTAACAATGAAATACATCCTGCATATCAGATATTTACATTATGATTCATAACAGTAACAAAATTACAGTTAGGAAGTAGTAACGAAAATAATTTTATGGTTGGGGGTCACCACCACATGAGGAACTGTATTAAAGGGTTGCAGCATTAAGAAGGTTGAGAACCATGGATCTAGTTCATGCTAGAGAAAGAATTGTTATAATATTTTAGTATCTTTAGCTGCAATCACATAATAGCCATACCTGATATAATTTTTATATTTTACAAGCAAAACGATAATAAAAATTCCAAAGAACACATTCTGTGACAAACCAATGTAAAAGCAAAGCAAGGAAATTTTTTTGTTTCTAACTTTAAAACTCTTAGGTAGGTATTCTTTGTAGAACACATGATTATTTTCTATTATGTTCTTTTCAAGTTTTCCTACCCATTATCCTGTTCTTTTCTATCACCATTACAGAAAACTTAGCTTTTCTTTAATTTCTTCCTTCCCCTCCTTACTAAAATCTTGAGCTTATCAGAGAGAATCACATGCATTTTTGGGTGTGGCAGTTACTATGTGGAACCAGGGAAGACCCTTGGCTGAGGGTCAGTATTTATAAAATACTGTTGTCCAGTATTTAGGCCTAGTATTTTGTAAATTTGAATTTAGGCCTTCCAGAAAAAAAGAATTTTAATGTTAACACACAAATGAAGTGTAGTATGTCTAACAAAACAATATGAAAAGAAATGTACCTTGTGAGCAACAAGATCATATGGGTGGAAGTCCACACATTCCCCATGGATTTGGGACATCAATTGAGCAGTTTTCTCCCAAAATCCTAGCAGTGTTCTCTGAGGAAAAAGAAAAGGTGACATTACTTCTGCTTTCCCAGCAGGATGTTTATTTTCCCCGATCTTTATTTTCCTCACTAGTATAATAGATGAAGTTAAAAACAACAACAACAACAACAAAACCAGGGTAATAGTTGCCAAATAACAAGAAGCAGGAATTAAATTCAATTTGTCAAGTTTGTGAAAGAAAAAAAGTACAGTGAATAGTAATTTTATGTAGGAATTGGCATATGTGTCTACATGAATGTGGGCCTCTGTGGCTTTAACACTGGAATGCATGCTCAAGCCACCTAAAAGCTAACTGCAGTCAAGAGAATGCGAGGTTATGGATTAGAACGCCTTCTGAGTAACCTACAGAGATGATAACGGCATGAAAATAGTGATCTCAGTTACGAGGGGGGCAGATACATACTCTATCTATTGGTAGGCATATGAAGCACTTAGTGCTTCTATAGTCAGTTAAATGAGTCATTTGAGGAAAGTAATATTTACAATTAAATTTGGTCTTTCATCTAGAGCACTTAACAAGAAAATTGTCCTCAAACTAACTCCCGTTAATTGTACATTTTCCATGCTGCTTCAAGGTTCCTGTTCAGAATGATAGGGATGTCTGGAGAGAACAAGAAGACTGGAATTAACAGCTATCGCACTTCAGAGAGTTCCCTTGCAGACTGCCATGCACTGGGGGTTTCCTCCCCAAATGCATCTTTTCTTGATTTTCACGGGACTGAATTGAATTAGGTAGATTTCTTAAAAGCAGCCATGAATGTCCTTGTCCTTTTATGTATATATACAGTTTTTACTATTATATATTTATGTAAAATATTGCGGTAGTTACATAATCTGGTGTCTACTTGAGACTTAAGAGTGAAGGGAAGGAGTTTAGTCTGTCAATCAGGTCACAGCTTGAGGACCTCCTTTGGAGGTGTTATGGAGGAGATATATAACTCACTGGAGGCGGGACGCACTCTCTCATTCCCTGTGAGACATTCCTGTAGACAAGACACGGAGCTATGCTAGAGCCCTGGAGCTGAAGGAGCCATGTAGAGACCCCTGCCAGCACTGAGATAGTTCCACTGCCACTGGATCCACAAGACTTTTCACTCACTGGCCTGTGATCTTCCTGCATTCGGCATCATTGCATGTGTTCATGAGTCTGAAGAGGACTTTAAAGATTGGTATTGGACATACGGGCTAACATTGGACTTAGGGACTTTATCTGGACTCGGCTGGGATGTTTTCTCCATATTCAATTGCTCTTGTTTATAAAGCTCTTTAAAAAAAAAAAAAGCTCTTTTATATATATAAATATGAGTATATATATATATGAGTCTCCATGAATTTGTTTCTCTGGTCTACCCACACTAACACAAATATATTCTCTTTACAAGAATATATTAAAACACCGTCCCCAACACCCACTGCCACAGAGTAGATTCTGACTTCTTGACTAGAGCAGACAGCCTCATCTCTCTCACATGTAGCAGTTGGTGGGTTTGAACTGCAGATCTTGAGGTTAACAGCCCAACGCTTACCCCACAACGCCACCAGAAGCTCCTGTTACAACATGTCACTACTACTTATTGATATCTAATGTAGTAACTGTATGCTATTCCTATGCAATTTAAGGGTAGCAAAAGCACAAGTGAGGTTTTGGTGGTGAGGGCTGCATAGAAAAAACACAGGAACGAGAGTTAGAAAACAGGTGTCGAACCCCAACATTGCCATTTGCTTTCATTCTCCTAGGCTTCTCTTTCTTCACCCATAAAATGACAGTGGAACAAAACAAAACCTTGTCAAACCCGAGGTACAGACTCTGCCTTAAATGAAATTGTATGTGAAAGTTCAAAATGAGTGGAGCAGCTCTAGGTGAACCAGGGCTTATGGGCTCAGAATCCTACCCTATTGATAGTCCGTTCTTCAACCCCATCCAGCCCCTAAGTTCCCTCAACCAATCCATGGGACACTCAGGAGCACAGCGGAAAGTCCAAGAGTAAGCCATCATTAATGGCTGGGATTCTACGAATGCTTGACGTTCTTAAGTTAGTTTTACCAAAATCAAAGAAATCTGATCATGTACACAACTTTTCACACCCTTTAGACAACTTTTAAAAAGGAATCTCACCACTCATCTTTACTGCAAGGACATGCTGACCATGGAGGTGGGTACCTGGTAGGTAGTGAGAGAATGAGATAACATATTGCAGCGACTAGCTCCAAGTAAATCCACTTTCTGGCAAACATCCATCTTTAACTTGTCAAAAGAACCTTTGCTATTTCTCACTTGGATCTGTACCTGTAACCACAAACACGGTCACCATTATTTACAATAACACAGGTAAAACATAATAAATAAAACTATACAAAAAATGTAACAAGGAGAGTTTCTTCTCCTTATATTATTAATAGTTTTTAGTCAATAATGAAGATTTGGTCATTTTTAGTCATTGTGGAAGGTCTTGTTAAGCAGATATCTTTATGCTAAGAGAGTATGAATTAAGTGGAAACTATATAATTAAAAAAAACATTTATGTTATATGTTTATTCATAAATGAAATACATATATTCCATAAATTCCAAAATATATATTCCACATGGAATATATATTCCATAAATAAATGGAAATACCCAAACCATTCATGGATAGTATAATATTTAGCTGAGAGTAGAAGGATAAATCTAGAAGTTAAAATTTTGAGGAACAATAATAGTTCTGAATCATGCAGATATATTTAAAACTTTTAAAAGAGTCCTATTATATTTCCTGGATGTCTGGTGAGTCATATGTGAATATTTAGCTTTTAAATACACTCACTCATTGATTCAACAAATATTCATAAAGTATCTGTTGTATTCCAGGTACTGTTCTACACCCTACTTTAGGGAGCAGTGATGGGGTCTTCCAAGCTCATGAGCAGCCATTTAGAGTGTAACAATTTACCCCTCCCCAGAAGAATGAACTACAGAGGAAGTGCTGAAGCTGCAGCTGGGGGAGGGGAGCGTGTCTGCTCAGAACACAGGAGTAAACGAAGAAGGAAGGCGAGAGAATGAGAGAGGGGAACGAAACCTGGCCCACCAAGCCCCAAGGTGGCCTGGAGCAGCCAATGCAGAGAGGACCACAGGGCCAGCCCCACCATGAGACATGGCATCCCCTCACTGACCCATAGCACTATGGGGACAACACTGCAGACACAGTGCAGGAATTGTGCCCAACCTGACCCCACCACACTGGGGCAGAACACTAAGGGCATGTAATTGAGCAGCAAGGGGAGCAAAGCAATGAAGTACCTGAGGAATCCCAAAAATAGACTATGGGGGCAGGGCATGACACCTCATCAGACTCAACCAGAAAACATTCATAAAGGTCAACAGATAGAGAGGGAACTATTTATAGGTTTTTCTTTTTTTGTTTTGTTTTGGTTTTTCATGTCTATCTAGATAAGATAGGCAGGATAAACAATCCCGAGGAGAAAGTAACGGGACCAATGGTTCCAGGGGCAAAGGAAGGGGGGAGCCAACAAACCCAGGCACAAGGGAACAACACGTGATCTAAAATTGATGGTGAGGGTGTAGAATGCCTGGTGGGGCTTGATTAAGTGCAATGTAGCCAAGAAGAATTACTGGGAGCCAAATGAAGGTTGAATGTGATGATGGGACAGGGGGAAAGGAAATAGAAGAACTAGGAGGAAAAGGACACTTATAGAGGTATAAATACAGGCATGCACATATGTAAATATATTTATATATAACAATAGGGACCTAGTTCTTTTTTTTCCAGTTTCAAATTGTTAATATTTAGGTATTTTTAAAAGAGTATTCTTTTTAATCACTTTATTGGGGGCCTGTACAATGCTTCTCACAATCCATACATAACACCCATTGTGTCCAGCACATTTGCACATTTGTTGCCATCATCATTCTCAAAACATTTGCTTTCTTTTTTTTTTTTAATATCATTTTATTAGGGGCTCATACAACTCTTATCACAATCCATACCAAAACATTTGCTTTCTACTTGAGCCCTTGGTATCAGCACCTCATTTTCCCCTCCCTCCCTGGTCACTCCTCCCTCATGAACCCTTGATAATTTATAAATTATTGTTATTTTGTCATATCTTACACTGCCCGATGTCTCCCTTCACCCACTTTTCTGTGGTCCATCCCCCAGAGAGGAGGTTATATGTAGAACCTTGTAATCGGTTCCCCTTTTTTAAAAGAGTATTTGAAGAGCCTCTATACTTGACTCTTTTTTAAAATAATTTTATTGGGGTCTTTTACAGCTCTTATAGCATTCCATACAACAATTGTATCAAGCACATTTGTACATATGTTGCCATCATCATTTTCAAAACATTTTCTACTTGAGCCTTTGGTAGGGACATAGTTCTATGTACATATATGTTAAATAATAAAGTAGCAGACGGACATTGGGCCTCTACTCAAGTACTCCTTCAACGCAAAAGCACTTTGTTCTAATAACTTGGTATTCTGTGATGCTCACCTTCCCGACAGGATCATTGAAGACAAAATGGGTACATTAGCAAATGTGGTCTAGAAAACTGATGGTGTTTAAAAAAAAATATCAAAAGAGATAGCGTCTGTGGTCTTAAAGGCTTGAAGATAAGCAAGTGGCCATCAAACTGGGAAGCAACAAAGCCCACATGGAAGAAGCACACCAGCTATGTGATCACAAGGTGTCCACAGGATCAGGTATCAGGCACTAGAAGACCCCAAGCAATCATATTGATGCGAATAGGGGAGGGGGGGCATGGAGTAGAGACCCAAAACCCATCTGTAAACAATTAGCCATCCCCTCACAGAAGGGTCACAAGGAAGGAATGATCCAGCCAGGGTGCAGTATATCACCAATGAAACATACAACATTCCTCTAGTTATTTAATGCTTCCCTCCCCCGACTATCATGACCCCAATTCTACCTCAAAAATCTAGCTAGACCAGAGAATGTACACTGATACAGATAAGAGCTAGAAACACAGGGAATCCAGCATAGACAAACCCCTCAGGTACAGTATTGAAAGTAGTGATACCATGAGCGTAGGGGGAATAGGGGGAGAATGGGGGAACCGATCACAATGATCGACCTATAACTCCTTCCCCCTAAGGGGGACAACAGCAGAAACAGGGGTGAAGGGAGACAGTGGATGGTGTAGGATATAAAAATAAGAATAATTTATAAATTATCAAGGGTTCATAAGGGAGGGAGGAGGAAAAAATGAGCTGATACTAAGGGCTCAAGTAGAAATAAATTGTTTTATAAAGGATCATGGCAACATATGTACAAATGTGCTTGACACAATAGATGTATGGATTGTTGTAAGAGCCCCCAATATAATGATTACAAATAATAAAGTATAATGATTTATCTCTTCCTGTCTAGAGAAGAGTGAAGAAAATCAAAGACATGGAAAGAAGTCCAGTGGGCTAATAACCCATCAGCCTCCACAACCCTAAGACCAGAAGAACTAGATTGTGTCCACTATCACTAGCTACTGTTCTGAAAGGGGTTACATTAGAAAGTCCTGGGTAGAGTTGGAGAAAAATGTGGAACAATACTCATAAAAGTAAATGTAAAGTCAAACAAACAAACTCAAAATCATTCAAACAAACCCGTTACTGGTCAGATAGAGACTGGGAGAACCACCCTTTGTCACCTTTCAGATACGGGACTGAACTCACCCTGACGGCTCAATTTTCAGCCAAAACCAGACAGGCCTGTAACACGGTGGATGTATACACACGTTGGAATACTCAGCCATTTGAGTCGAGAAAGGAAGCAGTTACTCAGTGTCAAAGTACAGAAGGGTTAGGAAGGAAGGAGGGTCGGAAATGGGAAACACAGGGAGGAAGCGGATGAATCAGTGTTGTTACGTTGTGGGGACTGCAATCAAGGGATATCACAAAATGTGTATGGATTGTTGGATGGAAAACTGATCTGCTCTGTGAACTTTCACCCAATTTACATAAGAAAAAAAAATTTTTTAAGAGGTTGATGGCTGTAACATGGGCAACATATTGTACTTCAATCAAATATCTTAAAGCACCAAGAATTTATAATCTAACATATTTTCAAAAATAGAGTGCCATTTTATGATGCTGATTAAAGTATTCTGTAGCAGTTCCAGTGATTTATATAAAAAGAAAAGGAAAATAGTAAAAAAGAAAAGAAAAACAATGTTTTCATACTTTTCTGAACTTTTCCATTTGCCTTAAGGTGTCTGGGTCCAGTTCTTGGGATACATCTTTCATCCACAGCAGAGCTCCTCTGTATTCTGTACGCGCCTGTTCCATCCGATTAATTGTTATCAAGGTATCGGATACTGCCCTTTGACTGAATGTTGCTACTTCTTGTTTAAGACGAGACAGTGGAGTATACAGGGCTAATCTAATAATAGAGATAAAAACCAGGGTATACATTTCATAAGCAAATCAAAGCTATAAAACAGCCATAAAGCATAAATGCTGTCGAGAAGCGTCTACAAAGTGAAAATTATTACTATACTTGAGACATTTCAGGAAGAAAATAAGGATTACATAGCCAACTTGAATTGCTAGTATGAGTTTATGTATCCTTTTCTCCTTATTTTAAGAAATACATCATTTTTTAAAACTTGTTACTGTGAGCATTTGCCAAGCAGATCTTAGGTCCCACAATTCACACACAGCAATTCCCTCTGTGTGTCTTCACCCACTCCTTTACCGCCGTGCTTCCTCTTTCCATCCTCTCTTTCCTAACCCCCAGAACACTGCGGACAGGTAAATGCTGCCATTTTGATCGTACATGGTGGATTATTCGAATACTGGGGGTGGGCTCAATCCCAGACCTGAGGGTGACGTAGGGCTTTAGTCCCACTTGACTCTAACCAAGCAGTAAGGCTGGTGGCTTTTGTGATTTTGAGTTTTGTTCTCCAGTTTTCTCCTATCCTATTCAGGACCTTTTAATATGATCCTTTTCAGAGCATTTGCTGGGAGTTGCCAGGTACCCGCTAGTCCTTCAAATCTCAGGATTGTGGAGACTGATGTTTGTGTGGTCCATTGGACTAATGGTTCCCTATGTCTTTCAGCTTCCACTCTGTTTTCTCCCGGATGGAGAGAGACCAATGGTCGCATCTTAGATGGCTGCTCACGAGTTTTTAAGACCCCACGTACGCCCCACCCAGATGGAACATAGAACATTGTCTTTGTGAATTGTTATACTAACAGACCTTGGTGTCTCCCAAGGCAGTGGGATCCCCTAGAAATACATTTATGTCTAAAAAGAAAAATTACATAATGTAATTTACAAACTCTGAATGTCAGTGTACATAAAGATAACCTCCTACATAAAGTGCCTCTTAGAAAACAGCTCTCGGGAGGTAACAACAATGACTACAAGACGGAAGGAAATGCTCTAAAACGGACTGTGGCGATGACTGCACGACTCTCCTTGATGCGGCTGAACTACTGAATTGTATGGTAAGTGAATTACGTGCCAATTTTTAAAAAGTGAGTGAGTACTTAAAGAAAGAAAACGGTTCCATGGGTAATAGAGACCCTACAATCATAAGGCATAATCCTATAAACAGGAAGTCTTTCATTTAACAATTTAGGGACTGCCTGGGTATATAAAAGAAGACACAAAATACTAGGAGAATTAATGAAAGTCAAGTTCTTAGCAACTAAGAATGACAACAAGAAAACAGGAATCTCTTAATTCATATATACTTAAAAATAAAGGAAAAATAGCAAAATAAATCAAATCCAACTGCTCAGCTCTGCTGTCGGCTCAATGCACAGGAAGGCCCTGTTCTGAGTCTCTGTTTGTTCATCAGAAGGGACTTTTGCGCTGATGTCTTACTGCAGAATAAAGCCACATAAAGTGGACAAAGGTCTTACAGTCTCCTAAGCCTCTTTTAGTGTCCTTCTGAAAACAAAATGATTCCGGCTGTATTTTGTAACTGTTGGAGAATTTTTTTCCAGCAGATATCTTTATGTTAAGAAATTACAAAAATATCAATAGGAAGTATGTAAGGGGGGAAAAGAGAAAAGGTCTTACCCAAAAATTACAAACAAAAAAAAGGGCCACGTTATAAAAATCCAGGACAAGGGAAAGAAACCAGGACAATACCCTTCCCTACGATGTTAGTACTCTGCGACCCGGTTCACATGGCATCAGAACCGCACTACAGAAACTGAAATGGGCCTAGGCTTCAAAGCAATTTCTAGGAATTAAGCAATAAAGATCTTCAATTTTTAAAAGAGTTAAGAAGGAAAATTAATAATTAATGGTTTAGTACTAAAACAATTACCATATATACACTGGGTTTTTTTAGCCCTCTTTAATGCAGTTTTTGTGGTAAAATTAGGTTCCTCGGGTGATAATCGGGTTGGCTTATACTCAAGTATATATGGTATCTATTGCAGTATAGTTTTACCCTCTAATGGAGTGGTCGGTGACTTTTACAAATATGCAAATTTAGGCAGGGATGTCCAAGGGACCTACTGAGTACAGAGGTAAGGGTGATGGCAAACCATGGCTCACCGTCGCTTGGCTGAAGAACAGAGTGCCTTGCCAGTGGCGTCCATCATTTTGCCAGCTGGAGTTATATCCCGTTCCGCTTGAAACTTCAGAAAGAGCCCCAGTTCATTTTCTTCCTCTGATATAACTAGAAAAAAGCATAGTTTATGTTTTTAATTTCATCATTTCTTTCAAACACATGTACAACTAATATCCGCACAATAACAATTTTCAATACATAAGAATTACTTAAGGGAGGAATAAGAGAGCCTTATTTTATTAAATAAAGATTCTGATTTCATATGTCTGGGTAGGGCCTGGGGATCTACTTTTTGACAAGCACTTCAGATGGTTTTAATGGTCTGGGAAACCCACGGACTGGCCTTTGTAAAGACTGGTTTCAATGACTTAAAAAAAAAATTAAAGGCTATTCTCCTAATAATAAAATACAAAACTACAAATTATGAATTTCCAAATGTGCAGACAATTGTTTCTTACAAGGTATTTTTTTCTTATTTAAACTTGCTAAGTTATTCCTGACTCCCATCTTGGTTTCCATTTCCTATGCTCCATAGCCCAGGCCCATAAATGGCAGTAGGTTAGCGGCACCTGAAGGAAAAAGGCCTGGCCAGGTACTCCCAAAAAATCAGCCATTGAAAACCCTTGGAGCCCAGTGTGACGCTGATACACCTGGGGCCATGAGTCGACATTAACTCAACAGCAACTGACAGAGGATAAATATTTAGACCAATCTGACTCATTTTAAAGTGTCTTTTTGTATTTTTTTCTAGTGAAGCATTTTAATTGTATTGTAAAAAATATATCAGTTTACAACAAGTTAAAGGTAAAAAGCAAAACAAAGAAATGGTCCTTTACTACATAATTTTTGAAGTAAGACACACTAGACACAATAATAATAATAAAAGACAAGTCCAGGAATTGAATTGTTCAAACTGTAAAGTTAAAGTTCAAAAAAAGTGGGGCAGGGGGTGTTTACAAATGTTAGGCCTAACTTCACAGGTAGAAAACTTGAAGCTACACACTGAAAGGGCTGCTTCTGGCCACCTGTGAGGCAGCAAGCGCACTCAGGCTGTCTGTCCTGCCACCTCCTGCAGCTTCTCCCTGCTGTGCCTGCAACAGTGACCCCAGGAGAGAGGCAGAGCATTACAGCGAGGGTGTCTGTGCTTTCTTTTGTATTATCTTTAATAAGACCTTGTCCTCTATTATCAACAGCTAATCTAATCTAGAATGGGCAGAATTAATATTAATATTCTGATTACTTCAGGGATGCACAGATTATGTTTCTTTTCAATCAGAACATCGTAAAACACACCTCAATGAAAACTACTAGAAAAAATTAATTTTTATATGATGATTCAAAAGATCCCATGAAAACCAGACTACTTCACTATGACCAAGTATCAACGAACTTGATTCTCATTGAGCCTGACTCCTGTAAGTGCAGGGAGCGTAGGCGATGAAGCGGAATCCGTGCTGATGCTCTGTAAGGCTCTGCCTGCCAAAAATGACAGAGGTCCCACAACCCTGGTGTTCACCCTGTCAGGTGGTTCTCATGAGGGTTTGGAGTGCTAGGCTACTCTACACCATTTGTATAATGTATTCCCGTGAGAAGATGTATTAACAGAATCTGCTTCAAGAAATCACACATTTGTACATTGTCTCAACGAGAAAGTACACAAATCATTATATGCGGATCTCTCTTGTTTTGAAATGCTACACCAGGGTGCCAAAAGAACTAATGATTTCAGGGTAAAATGCAGGACACAAAAATAGCCAATGTTTCTATGTTCTTTGTCCAATGAATGTAATTGATTGCTTTATCTCTTGAAAAAATATTTAAGGTCCTTAATAATCTAACTCTAACATTCCTGTTCACCTTAGCTCTACTACAATGCCCAGTTACAAATCTGCTGCTTATGTAGGCTGTTTTCATTCTTTAAGCTCCCCTCACTCCAAATCTCTTCTTTTTCTACGTACTCAACTTATAGAAACCCTTTACGTTTTTTATCTCAATTATCATCTATCTACCATTACTGTCATCAAGTTGATTTGACTCATAGTGAATGGTCCTTTACGGTTTCTGAAGCTAAATCTTTAATGAACAAATGGTTTCATCGTTTTCCCTCAGAGCCCCTGGTGAGCTTGAACTGTAGACCTTGTGATTAGCAGCAATACCTAACCCACAGCACCAGTAGGCCTCCTATCATCTAGAGTTGAATTTGCGACTTCAGTTATTTTCACACCTGGGATTCAGAATGATGTCTGTATCACTATTCTGTACTCAATTATACTATTTTGTGTAATCTCTTACTGTACTACAAAAAGTTGTTTCCCCAACTATTTCTTTGGGAAAAGCAGAGAGCCTTGCTATTTTCAAATGCTCATAACATACTTGAATAACCATGCAACTGAATATCTTGCTTTAATGGGATAATGTAAGAGCTTTGGTTATAAAGTAACGAGATTAATTTAAATAGCTCCACATAAAAGTCATACATTCATTGAACAAATATTTATTAAGAACTGATTAATTGCCAGGTATTATTTCTAAGTTTTGCAGGCAAAGAATGAAATAAAAATAGCTTAACTAGAGTATATTCTAGAAGAAAAAATATAGCTAGAACATACAGAATGTTGAATGTTATTAGATGCTTGCTGCCTGTGCATGTGAAAGTTGGATGATGAGTAAGCAAGACTACAGAAAAATTGATGCATTTGAGTTACGGTGCTGGCAAAGAATACTGAAAGTACCAAAGACTGCCAGAAGAACAAACAAATCTGTCTTAGGAGAAATACAGCTAGCCTGCTCCTTATAAGCAAGGATATGTATTTTGGATATGTTATCAGGAGAGACCAGTCCCTGAAAAAGGATATCATGCTTGATAAAATGTCAACTAAAAGAAGACACTCAACAAGATAGACTGACAAAGTGACTACAATAGGTCAAACATAGTAACAATTGTGAGGCTGGAGCAGAACCAGGGAGTGCTTCATTCTCCTGTAGACAGGGTCATTATGAATTGGAGCCAACTTGATGGCCCCTAACAACAATCATTACAACGGGAATTACTGAGGGAGAGGGGCATTGCATTTTATATATAAAGTCAAGAAAGCGATGGTTCACAAGAAGTCATCTTACCAAACACAAAGAAAGTAAGGCAGCCCGCAAGGCAAATACAATGCCTGCTTTGGAGGAGACCAAGGAGAGGTGAAAGTTTTAGCAAAGGAGATCAAGCAGGTGACCAGGATCAGAGAAGTGGCCAGGTCCAGTCGGACCAGACAGCTACGATAGTTAAAACAAGAGAGGAGACCCAAAGATTGGGCTCCAATCTGAAGAGGTCTAAGAGAAGAGAACCCAGCAAAAGCAAGATACTAAGAAGAATGACCAGTAGGAGGGAAACTAGGGAAGTATGGTTATATCTAGAAGGAGGCATAATCAACTGTGATAAACAATCTGATAAGTGAAATAAGGATTGAAAATTGGCTATTGGGTTTAGATCTTCGTGACCTTGCCAAGAACAATTCCATGGAGTGATGGGGGTGAAAACCTGCTGGAGTGAATACAAGAGAAGCTGAGAGAGAGGAACTGGAAACTACACGGGCAGTTATTTCCAAAGTTTCTCTACCTGGGAACATAGACAACACAAGACAGTAACTCCATAGGCAAGTAAAGCGTCAAATGAGTGACTTTTCAAATGATGAAGGCAAATAAATTGGCAAGAGAACTGAAAACAATCAAGGTGAACCTGATGCGTAAGATGGACACTAGAGCTTTTGGAAGATGAACTGGTGGTGCAGAGGTTAGAACAGTCCATTATAAAACAGAAGACTGGTTTGATCCCAATACCCACTCCGGAAAAAAGATGTGGCCCTCTGCTTCCAGAACAACGTATAGTATAACCTCGGAAACCCTGCCGGGTCCCCAGGAGTCAGCATCAACTCAAAAGCTTTGGTTTGGGGAGAATGGGTCACTCTAAATAGTTATATTGTGTGGTAAGAAACAACAAAGTAACTCAATAAACTCCACTTTTACACTAAGTCTTTTATCTTAAAAAATGCAAACTAATGCTTTTGTAAATGAGAATTATCTGATAATCTGTAATTCCATACCATTGAGTCTGAGCTGATATTTTTCAACTGTCTTCAGAAGTTCAGTGCATGTCTCTTGAATGCAGTGAAAAACCTTGAAATATAAATTTTATTAGAACAAATTTAAGAACCACAGATAAACATACATTATCAGTTATTAGCACTTCAATGTTAGACATTTTTTCAAAAGTATGTCGATATTAAAAATGTTTATGTTCTTTGCCTGTGAGCACTTGTTTTCTTTGAATTCTTCTGTAGGAAGCACATTTAGATTTCTCCCATGAGTGAAGTCAGAAGGAACACTTTTCAACACAAATAACTAAAGTTTGTTAATTTTTCATCTTTTTCCATGTTTGTTATGGCAATAGCTGAGATTCATCTTTTGTAAAATAAAATAAAACACTTAACAGATGAAGGTCTATTTAATTGGGCCTATATTTTTAAGAATTCCAACATGATGATTGTATTCTAAGCCTAACAGAGCCCTTGCTTACAAATATATGTGTTACCTTAAATTGCTGTGTGTGTAAAACTAGTAAAACTGCATTTAAAAACCCAGTTTTTTTCATTTAAATTACTTAAAGTACATGACAGCAGTTCTCTCTAGCTAGTATAATTATTTTAAAAAATAAAACATTTATAGGCTTAACATTGTTGCATGGGCATTTTTACATATTTAAAGACAGCCAAAAGAGACATTATGAAGTAGTTCAATAATGCTAGCCCTTAACAGAAACAAAAACTGTTTTCTTATTTGATTTCAATGAGATATAAGATCTCACATAAAGACCCTTCAAAATATTATGATATATAATAAATATATGGTCCCAAGTAGGAATGTATTAAATCTGTAAATATTAAGCTTAAAGCTATAATACACATACCATATATAGAATTTTTTCTATTAGGGTGAATCGTAAGAGAATTTTCTTAAAAAATCATTTTATTTGGGGCTCATACAACTCATCACAATCCATACATCCATCCATTGTGTCAAGCACATTTGTATATTTGTTGCCATCATCATTCTCAAAACATTTCTACTTGAGCCCTTGGTATCAGCTCATTTTTCCCCTCCCTCTCTGCCACGAACCCTTGATAATTTATATATTATTATTATTTATTTTGCCCTGTCTTACACTGTCTGACGTCTCCCTTCACCCACTTTTCTGTTGTCTGTCTCCCAGGGAGGGGGTTATATGTAGATTCTTGTGATCGGTCCCCCCTTCCAACCCAACCTCCCTTCAACCCCCCCGCATCGCCACTCTCACCACTGGTCCTGAGGAGTTTCATCTGTCCTGGATTCCCTGTGTTTCCAGTTCCTATCTGTACCAATGTACATCATCTGGTTTAGCCAGATTTATTTAAACAGAATTGGGAATATGATAATGGTGGGGAGAAAGCATTAAAGAACTAGAGGAAAGTTGTATGTTTCATCGGTGTTACACTGTACCCTGACTGACTCGTCTCCTCCCCACGACCCTTCTGTAAGGGGATGTCCAGTTGCTTACAGATGGGTTTTGGGTCTCCACTCCACACTCCCCCTCTTTCACAATGATAGGATTTTTTGTTCTTTAATGCATGATACCTGATCCCATCGACATCTCGTGATCACACAGGCTAGTGTGCTTCTTCCATATGGGTTTTGTTGCTTCTCAACTAGATGGCCACTTGTTTATCTTCAAGCTTTAAGACCCCAGATGTTACATCTTTTGATAGCCAGGCACCATCAGCTTTCTTCACCACATTTGCTTATGCACCCATTTTGTCTTCAGCAATCATGTCGGGAAGGTGAGCATCATGGAATGCCAGTTTAATAGAACAAAGTGTTCTTGCATTGAGGGAGTACTTGAGTGGAGGCCCAGTGTCCATCTGCTACCTTAATACTAAACCTATAAATATATGCACATAGATCTATTTCCCCATCATCATATATAAATATATTTACATATGTACATGCCTGTATTTAGAAGGAGTAATATTTTTATGCAATGAGTTAATGACTTATTGAATTCCGCAAATACTAACTCGTAATCTGTGAGAACGACCTTCTATTCAGAAGATCTGATTAATAGTTGGATATAACTAAACTATTCTAAGGGCAAGTTTGTATTTATTCCCCTAAATTCTTCAGTGTGAAAGCGTGCTATATATCATTTGCCTTGTAGTCCCAAGTAATAGTCAGTTAAATGCAATATATACAAGGTTGCTATGAGCCTGAATTGACTAGATGGCAAAGAGTATGTCTTTGTTGTTACATGCATGTGGTAGTTACATACTTTCATGTCAACCTTAAGCTATAAAAGTGGAGGGGTGGAGTCTAACCTGTCAATCAGATTACAGATTGATGGTGCCTCCGTGTGGGCGTGACCTCATAAGGAGGATCCTGGGAACCTCCCCGCTCTCTCTGCCTTTACCCTCATACTGGCGAGCCGCTCTGAGACCTGTCAGAACCCTGGAGATGCACCACCACCAATGAATCCACAAGATTTTGCACCCACCTCCCTGTGATCTTCCTGTATTCTAGATCATTGCATGTGGCTTCATGAGTCTGAAGAGGGACTGATGGACTAGAATCGTACTTACGAACTAGAATTGGACTTCTGGACTTGATCTGGACTGGGCTGGGAAGTCTGCTTGATACATAATTACTTCTTGATATAAAGCGCTCTCTTATGAGTGTCTCTGGATTTGTTTCTCTAGTCAACCCAGTCTAACAGAATGCAATATATTAAAAAAAAAAATCCTCAGATTTACCTCAAGTTTAGCATCCAGTTCAGCATCAGATGCCACCACATGCTCATCCTCTTTTTTTCCTGTGGCTTTGAGAAAGACCTGTTTAGTTTTCCAGTATTTCTTCTGCATTCTGCTCACTACTGACTGGCTAACTTCTGGTCTGGGTGGCCCAGAGGAATCCATGGGGTGGCTACAAGGAACAGACTCAAATTAAACTTCTTCAAAAATATTTTGAATAAGTATCTATTGAGTCCATCTGCTACCTTAATACTAAATCTATAAATACACGCACATATATCTATTTCCCCATCATCATATATAAATATATTTACATATGTACATGCCTGTATTTAGAAGGAGTAATATTTTTATGCAATGAGTTAATGACTTATTGAATTCCGCAAATACTAACATGAGAATTAGTAGAGAGGGAAAAGTACATAAGGTGGGGAGAGAGAAAAAAAGCTATCTTGTTGGTTTTTTTTTTAAAGAATAGCAGGGAAAACTATATTTCAAATATTCTTGATAAAGTACCCAACACTAAATACTTATGTCAAAAAATAATATTAAGGCTAGTCCCTGGCACAGCTTAGAATTCTATTTGCACATTTACCGTAAATGTCAGGCCAGCACCTCCCCCAGCCCTCAGGTAAGCCTGGAGTCTCCAGAAGCAGAGGTTCTCAGGTTACAAGCATCAAATGGGATAACGCACACAAAACCTCTTCTGTTAACTGAAACGTTGTATATACGTCCAAGGAATTATTACAATTATTACATACAACCTCTAAATAAATAAGAATGCATAGAATGTAGAATTTTAAATTGTTTCACTGACAAAATTACTTTAAAGGCATCCCTGAGAAAACCTGAAAAAGAGGAGCTTTTCATTGGATGCATTTGTAAATATAAGAGTGCACAATTAAAAATGCAAATTGACCACATAGGAGCCCCCAGAAACCTCATGAGAGACTTTCAGTTTGAAATTCAAAGGATGAAAATCTCAGTCCAGTAAATCTGGCCTCTTTCTAGAAAATTTGTGTTTTGTTCTACATTTTTCTCCCATTCTGTCCGGGACCTTCTATTGTGTCCCTGATCCGAACTGTCAGTCATGGTAGGCAGGCACCATCTAGTCCTGGTCTCAGACTAAAAGAGGTCCACGTGGTTTATTAGTAATGTAGATTAGTTTCTTCTTTGAATATTATTAAAAACTATAAAACACTGTTGAGAAAAATTAAATGAGAAAATTTAGAAGTACATCCATAAATATATAGCCAAATGATTTTTATGAATATCAAAGTAATTTAATGGCAGAATCATTTTTTTAGCCAATAGTAGTATAATAACTGGCTATCCAATTGCCTGAAATTGGCCATATGTGTATCTATATACAGAATTGTGTCTATACACAAAACTGAACATGTACAAAAGATGTAAATGTAATCTTTCCAGCCTTGTGGCAGACAAAGATTTCTTACACTATAGTAAACAGCAAGCACAAAAAAATGATAAATTTCATAAAAACTAAAAGCTTTTGCTCTTTAAAAGACACCATTAAAAATGAAAATGGAACATATGTATTTGCTACATATGACAAAAGACGTGTTCAGAATATATAAAAATGCTGTTAGGTGTTGTTGAATTGGTACCAACTCACAGAAACCATAAGTACAACAAAATACTGCCCAGTCCTGCATCATCCTCACAGTCATTGCTATGTTTGAATGTATTGTTTCAATCAGTGTCCATCCATTTGTTTGAGAGTCTCTTTCTTTTACACTAACCTACTACCTTAACAAGCACGATGTCCTCCTTCTCCAGGGACAGGTGGGCCCCTCCTGATAACACCCAAGGATATGGGACAAAGTCTCACTTCCGTTGCTTCTGAGGAACATTCTAGTTACACTTCTTCCCGGACAGAGTTCCTTGTTCTTCTTGCAGTCTACTGTATATTCAACATCATTCGTCTCCACCTTAATACAAATGCATCAATTCTTCTTCCCAATTCTCTAGTCAGCGTTCACATGCATACAAGGTGAGTGAAAATACCGTGGCTTGCTTGGTTCCAGTGTATTTTATTCCTCAAAGTGATATTTTTGCTTTTTAACACTTTGAAGAGGTCTCTTGAAGCAGATTTGTCCAGTACAATATGTCATTTGATTTCCTGACTGGTGATTTCATGGGCATTGATTGTGGATCCAAGTCAAATTAAATCCTTGGCTACTTTAATCTTTTCTCCATTTGTTATGAACTTACTTACTGATCAGTGTGTGAGGAATTTTGTTCATTTGTGTTTAGGTGTAATCCATATTTTGATCTATATCAGCAGATGCTTCAAGTCCTCCTGGCTTTCAGCAAGCAAGGTTATATCATCGGCATGTAGCAAGTTGTTTACAAGCCTCCCGCCAATCCTAGTGGTGCTGCATTCTTCTTCACATAGTCCATCTTCCCAATAATTTCCTAAGCATAGACTGATTAATTATGATCAAAGGATACAATCCTGACACACACCTCTCCTCTGTTTAGTCTAAATACAGAACCTGTTGAACATAATTTAGGGTTTGGAATTCCCATATTCCAGAATTTATCCATAATATGCGATGATCATAATAGTCTGATGCTTTGCATGGTCAGTAAAACACAAGTAAACATATTTCTGGTATCCTCTGCTCTCAGCCACGATCAATTCGATAGTAGTATTGATATTTCTCATTCTATGTCCTCTTCTGCATTAGGCTTGAATTAATAGTAGGTTCCCTTTTGATGTACTACTGCAACTTATTTTTCAAGTATCTTTAGCAAAATTTTACTTGTAAGTGATAGGATTCAGTAATTTCCACATTCAGTTGGATCATCTTTCTGTGAAATGAGCACAAATATGAATCTCCTCCTTTCATTTGGCCGGCTAGCTTGCAGGATTCCATCTGCTTGCGGGAACATCTCAGTTGGTATTCTGTCATTTCTAGGAACTTGGTTTTTCACCAGTGCCTTTGGTGCAGCTTGAACTTCTTCCCTCATACAACAGTTGTTTTGTTTTGTGTGTGCGTGCATGTGTGTGTTTCATTGAAAAAGACCTTTGATTATGAACTAGGTGAAGGTTTGCAGAGTAGATAATCAGTTTTACATTCAGTAAATCACACACATTTTATTTTTATTTCAATTTAGTATATTCTTTATCAAATCCTACCCCCTGAAATGATTGAATTCTGTTTTGCTACTGTGACTCTGTATTCCTTCCATTGTCTTTTGATGAATTTTGTGTCAGTCGGATTTACCCATGGACTCTTTCAATACTGAAACTTGAGGCTTACATTTCCTTTTTCAATCTGAGAAATGCTAGGTGTGACGCTGTTGTTTTCCGCCCTGGTGGCTTTCTAACTCCAGTTCTTGCACATTTCGTTGTAACACTTTTCTTTGTATTCCAGAGCCACCCTTTGAACTCGTCAGTTCAGCCCTTTTACTTCAGCATGTCTTCCAATTGCTTTGGTCCTTTTAAAAGAGCATATGAATTTGCACAAACTCACAAAATAATATATACAAGTAGCCAATAATCATATAAAAAGATGCTCAAAAAAAAAGATGCTCAACATCTTTACTCATTAAGGAAATGATAATTCACACCTGAAAGAGATAACATTGTATACACATTTAAATTTGCTTTAAAAGGCTCAGAAAGATAAAAATTAAGCTTGCCATTGCAAGTGTTGGCAGGGGTGAAGAACAATTAGAACTTACACACAGCTGCTAAGAATGTAAAATGATATGAAACCTTCAACAGAGTTTGATAGTTTCTTATAAAATTAAACATACACTTTAACCATATATCCCAACAACTAGCTGTATTCTTAGCTATTTACCCCAAAGAAATGAAAATATATGCCTATATAAAAACTTGTACATAGATGTTTTACACCATCTTTATCTATAATGCCCCAAATTAGAATGTCCATAAACCAAAATATCCATCAATAGGGGAGTATTTAAACAAATTATGGAAAAATAAATAAAATAAACAAACTATGGTCTATTCATGCAACAGAGTACCCTGTGGGAAACAGAAAGATTTCTCCCAAGTTGTCTCCCCCAAATATATGCCAAACTTAGCTGCTTGCTACACGTGGCGAATGACTATACACTTGGAGGTCATCAGAAGTAGGTCAGGGGTTATTCTCCCTAAGAGCTATTAGCCATCTAGAGCAAGCAGTCACCAGTTTATCCCACAACAAGCAGGGCCCACTCCCTTCTGATAAGGATAGTAGTTGTCTGTTTCCTTGTAGGAGACCCCAGAGAGGTCAAGCCCACCCAAGGGTGACAAAGGTTACGCCGCCATCATGAATTGAGGGTCCATCTAGTCACATGTATACCTCTAGTCCCCTCCCTTCCTATGGGCACACCCCTAGCTCATCCCCTTCCTGTCACACTTATGCCTATTGTACATCCCCTTCCTATGATGTATATGCCTATGGTACTACCCCTTCCTGTGACATGTGGTCACCTATGATTACGCTCCCTTAAAATGATAAGCCTTGGTTAGCAATAAAGCTGGGC